GGCTGTGGGACTGCAGGCCGAGGCCCTCCCTGCCGTGCACCTCTCGCTGCCAGCCTCTTGCCCCACTTTTGAATTGAGGCCACCTGCGCCAAGGCCTTGGGCGGCTGTGACAGGCGGTGCTGGGTGCTGGAACACTCTGTGCCTTACCCGTGGGCACCCTCCCCAGCCTGTGCAGGCCTTGGCCTCTTTGAACCGTTGCGTTTGGTCCTCTGCAGGCACGAACACATGTGCAAGTGAGTTTGGCAAGCTTGCATGTTGCTCGTTGCGGGCTGACTGCCGTGCTGTCTGTGGCACAGCCAGATCCAAGACTGACCCCACAGACCCAGCAGGAGGGCTGTGCCTGGGCTTTCTCAGTCTCAGCTGCCCAAACGGTTTGTTGGAGCAGCAGGCAGCCCTGGCATGTGTGGGCTGCTCTCAGAGTGAGACAGTGCTCTTCTATGCTGGGTAGAGGTTCCTGATGCCTGCATGGTACCAGGTGAGTTCCCTGGTAGTAGTCATTTGTGCAGGAGTATGCTGTGCAAATAAGGTCTCCTGATTTCCCTGTGGGTTCAGGTTATTCCAATTATGAGTTGAAGCCTTCTGCAAGTGTGCCAGTTATGTTCAGGGAGCTAATCCCAGGAAAGAGATGAAAAATAACCCTGAAAAGTATTAGCTTAGTGTGAACAGCAGATACCTAAGCAATTCCCAGGGAGTGTACAAATCTGGTGTTTGTAGCAGAGTGTTTAACTTTTGTGTTCCTATTCCTTTCCTGTGTGGGCTGAATCCCCAAGAAGAGAGAGACTGTGACTTCTTGTGTATTAGCCCTTCTGCGTATCTCCTCTCTCACCATTCTTGTGCTTTGGGATTTGAGGAAAGTAAGCATGTGCTAACATCTGCTTCGACTCTCCTTGAAAATTATCACCAGGAAGTGCTTGGCACAAGAGAATTGGTCCTTTGTGTGTGGCACGCTAGTCTGATAACTAAAGCTTTTGCCTTCGATGAGAGTGAACTTTCTGTTGAAGCCAAGGGCTTTGTCTTGTGGGAGCAGAGGTTGAATGGATGTTCCTACAGTGCTTATTTGGTTGTTCTCTGCCAACGGTAGTGGTATCAGGACTGACTGTAGGGCCAGGGCTCCTTCTCCCACCAGCACATCTGCTGTGTGGCAGAACATGCTGGTGAATTGGACTGGTTTTTGAAGGAAGTTGGAGATCCTCAGGACTGTCCCGAGGCAATCTTTCTTGAGTGAACAGACACTCTACCCATTGGGTTTTAAATTTTTTTTTTCTTGACTGGAGCAATGGGGTTTGAAAAGAGAAGATACAGGAAACAAGCCAGTGCCCCTTTAATTCTGTGACCTGCAAAGTAATGCACATGGGAGCTCTCTTTCCTCTGTGCATTGGAGTTCATCCATAAAATCCGTTTTCCTGAAAGCTAGTTTGCATCATTGAAATACCAGTCTGAGCTCTTCCTTAACACAATCTTTGTGGTGCAGTTGCTTCCCAGTCACCTCAGCTTGGATCACGAGTGCTGGACAAGCTGCCTCTTCTCTGGCAGCCTGCTGCTGTAAATGGTAGCTACCAGAGGGTTTGACTTTGGTTACACTGGGACAACTTTGGGATTTTGATCTGACCACGTGTGGCAGCAAATGCTGCTATTCTTGCTGTGCCAGCGGCTTAGATGGGGGAGATGAATGCAGTACTGAGAACATCCTGCTTGTTGTGAAATAGATGAGACCCAGGAATTAAAGGTTTTTGCAGATAGCAGTAAACACTGCAGCATCTGAGACCCTGTGCAGATATGCAGGAGCTTACTATCTGTGCTGACAGAGCGTGTACCTCCAGGGATGCATGACTAAAGCTTTGAGGGTGAACTATCCTGTCATTCCATTCCTCTTCTAAGAACATCACAGAGCCAGGAGAGTGCCCTGCTGAGTGCAGATAGCAGCACTGCTGCTGGGAGTAGTGAAGCTGCAACAAGGTGGGGGTGGCTCTGCTGGGACAAGCCATGGGACTGCTGGCATGTGGCTTCCAAGGCATTTTGTCTTTGCAGAGCTTCCTGAGAGCTGGGCTGATATGCAGGAGCCACTGCTTGAGGGGATGTGCTTCACACTCAAGTATCTAGGCATGACGCTGGTAGAAAAACCCAAAGGAGAAGACATGGCTGCTGCTGCCATCCGCAGGATCATGGCCACGGTGAGAGCTGGCCCTGGGGCCCTGCTGTGCTGGGGTGGAGAAGAGCCAATTCAGAGCCCAGCCCCTGGACTCTCGGGAAGTGTCCATGTCCCAGCCCTGAACCCCAGTGAGGGACTGTGCTGTTCCCAAGAGGAGGGTGGCATGCAAGAGGCTGGCTGCTCTCTGCCTGTGTGCTGTGAGGGAAGCTGTCTTCCTGCAGGACAGCCGCTGCTGCCTGCTCCCACACCAGGAACATGGCTAGGAGCAGAGCTGTGCCTGTCACAGCAGGGAGAGGAGGGTGAAATACTGGGGGAGGTGGGATCTGTCCTTTCCCATGTGCACGGCAGTAGTGTGAACGGATTCCAGGGGTGTTCTCTGCAGGGCGTGCCTGATCTCCAGGCTCTGCTTTCCCATCCCTACAGCAGGAGCCTTTACAGCAAGGGTCTAAGTGGGTGGCACTCCATACAGAGTCTGGGGGACTCCTGCCAGCAAGGGGGGGTGTGAAGACCCTTGCCAGATTTGCAGAGGTGTCTGGTGTCTCCCTACTGCCAGGCACGGGTGGGAGCTCGCAAGTTCCAGAAGGTGATTCTGACAGTGTCTCCAAGGGGCATCTCGCTGCAGGATGCAGACACAAAGGAGATGGTTGAGAACATCTCCATCTACAGGTGGGCATGGCATGTGGAGGGCCTGGGTGTTCCCCAGCAGCCAGCTGGAGACTGATGGGATCTTGAGCAGCCAGGGAGGGCTGGGCCTTCTGTCACTGGTACCTTCAAGCTTAGGTCTTCCTTTGGCTCCCTGAGGCCCATGCCCTCTCCCTGCTGTGACCCACAGCACTGCCTGGGGCTGAATGCAGGCAGGGTCCTGGGTGGCCTTGAGTTCCGGGTCAGTCCATCTGTCTCTTCCCTGGGCCTTGCTTGTCTCTTCTGGCATTCAAGCAGGATGTCAAAGCTGGTGGTTGGAAAGCCCCACAGTTAGGGCAGGACTGCATGTCTGTCTCTCTCCACTGACAAAGGACTGCTCTTCTGGCTGCAAGGGCATGAAGGTGCCATAGACTGCAGCTTACTCAGGTTGGCTAAAGGCAGTTGCTGTGAGAGCTAATGTGGGAGTTTTTTAACTACCAGCTGTGCTTTGGCTGGGTTGGGTGTCTGTGGGTGCGGGTGTGAGGGGAGTGTGGCTGCAGGCTGGTGGCTAGATGGGAAGCAGAGACAGGACATCTCATTGGTGCAAAATTTGGGTCTTAGCACCAGAGCTGATGTGCTAAGGCAGACCATCCTGCTGCCTGACCTCCAATCATGTCCTTGGAGGCAGTCACCCACCCTTCTATGCTCCTTTTGTCCCAGTGCTTGAGTTCATACATTGGGTCAAAGTGGGCATCAGAGGACCAGGAAGCACACTGAGGCAGCACAGGAGGGAAGGCCTGTGGGTGCAGAGATCTCTTACTAGCTGTAGGTGCCAGGCAGCCTCTGGCCCTTGCTGGGGGATTGGGCTACCTGATCATCTGGGGCAGATGAAAGCCTTAGGCTGTCAGCACTGCTGGTTGGTGTGCTGGGAGCACAGCAGAAGACCTGTGCTGGGGTCCCTTATTGCCCTGAGCAGCTCCTCTCTGCCTGCAGGATCTCGTACTGCACAACAGACAAACTGCAGAACAAAGTCTTCGCTTATGTTGCCCAGAGCCAGGAGAGCGGGGCGCTGGAGTGCCATGCCTTCCTCTCACCCAAGAAGAAGATTGTAAGCACTTCCCTTCTGCTCTTGGCTCCGTGAGGTAAGGGTGGGAGCAAGGGCCTTTGTTCTCCCCCTTCAGAGAGAGAAGGCCCTTACCTCTGTGCACCGCAGCTGGAAATGGAGCTGGGGACCATGTGTGCTCACACACTGCAGAGGCAGGTGGTGAGCAAAAGGAGGTCATTCTGTCCTCTGGGTTCTCCTCTTGGGGATGGCTGGCCCACATGGGCAGACCAACACAGTATTGAGACCTGGCCTTCGGTGTGTGTGTGCGCTGCAGAGAAAGGCAGTGAGGGAGGCCTGGGGGCTCTCAGATTTCATGGTGGGGGGGGTCTCCTGGCTTGAGGGCCCAGATGGAAGCAGACATTCCCTCTCTTTCCTGTATGCAGGCTCAGGCTGTGACTCTGACCGTGGCCCAGGCCTTCCAGATGGCACTTGATCTCTGGGAAGCAGCACATGCAGGTAGGAGAAATTTCTCAAACATGTCCCTCTGCCTAGCCCTAGGATAGGGGTCTCCAGTGCAGGACCCTGTCATGGGCTGTGTGGAGGAGAGATGTCTCGCTACCTGGCTGGTGAAACACCAAGCAGGGAGAGTGTTGTCCCTGCTGTTGTGTTCTCTGCCATGGCGCCATCTGGCTGGGGCAGGGTGGGGGGCATCCCTGCTATCCATGGTGATCTCTTCTGCATTGCTGAGCTGTAGCACAGCTCAGGACCCTGTGTTACCTGCCCTGAGCAGTGTTCCTGCACCCTTGTTTGCATCCTCCCCTGAGTGCTGCAGGGGTATCTGTCTCTTGCCCACAGTCCTGCCTGTACATCCTCTGCTGGGCCTTCTCCAGGTTGCAGGCACTAACATTGCTGCTTTTGCCCTGTCCCAGGCTCTAGGCAGGAACAGCCCTTTCACCCTTCATGTGTCTTGGAGAGCAGTGAGCCCGGCAGACCAAGTGAGACAGCCCCCCCGGGGAGCCCTCCCTTCAGACACCAGTTTGGGGTACAGTATGTGCAAGTCTGGCCCATGCCCAGGGTTGTCTCGCATTAGGGTAGGAAAAGAGTAACCCTTACACAGCTCCCTCCTCCTGACCTTCCAGGACCTGTTGATATCTGCGCAGCCTCCCTCACACATGGTGGCCTGACATGTCTGGCTCACAAGGCAGGCACAGTTCCTCAGGTGGTCTTTGCTCCAGGAGCTCTCCTGTCAGGCCCAACATTGCTGCAGCCCTCAGCCCTCCTCTGCTGGCATTGTTAAACAGGGAGCTGGGACCTGTTCTGCACACTTGGTGCCATGGCTAGGGGTGAGACAGTGTCTCTGAAGGAGAGGACCCTGTGGTCATCATCTTGCCAGTCTGGGCTAAGGTTCAGCCCTGCCCATCTGCATGACACCTATTGCATGTCTGGAGCCAATCGAAGCATTGCCAGTGTTGCTGGTTTCACCATGTCTTTGCCCAGGAGCCTCTGGACGCTTGGTCCTTGGCCTCATGTTTCCAGTGCTGGTCCAGCCTGGCAGTGCTGGGGGTCATACTTGCTTACAGCCTGCTCGCAGGTGGTTCTCTGCCTGGCCCTCTAGCTGCAAGATGTGCTCACCCCACTCCTATCTCTGGGCAAAGGTATGCTGTGTGCAGCAGCTGTCTCAGCTTGTTCCCTGCTCACAGCCTGTGTTTGGTGCTCTGCTGGCTGGAGGGGATGTGAGAAGAGTCATGATCTGTCTCTCCCCTTGTGTGCCTGAGGATTCCAGCAGCCCAGCACCGCAGGTGCTATCTTTCCCCCTACTGCCTATAGGCACGCTTTGTGCCATGCCTGGTGGGTGACTGTCTTGTGAAGGGGCCAGGGACTGCCCTGCTGCTCCAGAACAGACTCTGGGCAGCCCAGCCTCGCTCCTGGCAGAGACCTGTCCAGGCAGTGAGGTGTCACAGTGGTTTTTTGGTTTATTTGTTTGTTTGTTTGCCAGGAGGAGGAAGATGAGGAGGAAGATAATGTCGGTGAAACCTTATCTAGGTAGGTAGTGAGCTGCTGCTTGTGTTCAGGAATCTCTCTAATGAACCCTCTTTTGTTTCCTGCTCTGTGCGCTGTGCAAGGGGAGCTGCTGGGGCCATGGGCATGGCGGGAGCATGGAGGAGATCTGCGTGGGAGCAAGGGGGAGCTTCCTGCTGCTTTCTCTGCTTGTCAGCTGAGACGTCGAGTGAACAGGGACCTGAGCTGTGGAGGGGCAGATCTTGCAGTTTGGCTTTTGCAGTGCTGTGGGGGACAGGTGGTGACCCTCAGGATGTACCCAGAGATGTTACTTGTTCTGTTTCTGCCACTCTTTGCTGAGGCTAGCCTATTCAGACGTGCTTCTCAGGTGGGACTCAGAGTTATCTTCCTCCCACTGATTTCCCTGGGGCTTGGACCAGGATGGAGGCCTGGTCATGCTGACTTCTACGTGGACTAAGGCCTCGGGTTGAGTTGATGGTATCAGTCCAGCAATGGAGGATTAACCCATAGGTCTTTGCAGAAGTGCCAGTGGGTATGAGAGGCCTGTTCCACTGTGGCTGTTCTCCATGTGTCTGGCACCTGGCTGGGGCCTGTCAGCACTGCAGGGCTGAGCCTGGTCTGAGCTGGTATCAGCCAGGAACCAGTGCACGCACACACTGGAGCTATGTCTGCGGCACTGTGAAGTGGTAGCCCTTTGTACGTGGGGGCTCCTGATGGGAAGGAGATACGGCTTTGCAGCCTTGGGAGAGGCAGGGGGGGGGAAAGGGGTTGGG